AAAAATAATAATAAATAATAATAATACTAATAATACTAATAATAACCGAATCTGATCGATTCTGTCATTCGTTTAATGGCTGGCCTGCTTTAGGCAGGTGGGAAACTACTAGCCTGTGTTACATCAACTGGTTGGCAATGCCCTGGTGCAATGAACAACCTAGCATCGCTCAGAATAAATTGTAGCCAGATTTCTTACTGACCTGCATATGATTTCAGATACTGATTGCTGGTATTATATTTGTAATGACGATACTGTAGTAAACAATAACGATAATGATTTGATTATGATAATTATTAGACTAGACCTTCGCTTTAATTTTATAAATTTATAATGTCGAATTTACCAAATAAAAATTGTATAGGATGTCACATAACGAAAAGCTCTGAAGAATTTTTAAATGAAAAAGGTGATGCTTTAACGAAGTGTTCAAAATGTTGAAATAACCTTAAAATGGCTTATTTGAAAAATAAATTACAAGGACCAATAATTAGTCATATGAATATCACTGAAATTGTATATAACTCCTTAATTTCTTTAAATAATACCAACGATTTATATGAAGGAGAAAATGAGGCGTTAAGCATGAACTTTAATATTAAATTTTCAACATTTCAAGACTTTATCTTGGAAAAAGATGGGTCTGGATTGTTAAATAAAGAAAACTTTGACTTTAAAATTGGTCATTGCATAATTGCATCTATTTCAGAGAGTGATGGATACTCTTGGGTTTACCGTAATAAAAATAAAAAAAAAACTTCTTTGCTTCTTATATATTATTGTAATTGTCGAATAGAACTTGGAAAACGTCAAGCTAAGCATCCAATTCTAGACAAGCAAAGAGACACACCTGCCTTTTTAGAGCGATACAATTGTGAGGGACTATAAAAATAGAAATATTTTCTGAATTAAATTTGATTATGATCAAATATTCTCACAAAATGTTATATTCATGGCCTAGTCATGTTGAAACATCTTTAGAAATTAAAAAATTCATCCAAGATAATATTTATTGTTCGCCTGCTGAAATTTGTCACCAGATTTGTGAAAATCAAATTAATGGATATGAATATATAAAATCTCGAAAGCAATATTGCCGACATTCAGATTCTTTATTGTCATCAAAGCTTTTATTAGAAGAATTTAATTTGGAAATTATAGTAGATCATCTCAATTTACCTATTCCTGCTCTTGGATTTTTGACGACATTGTTTTATCGATTAATTCATAGTAAATTTGATGCAATTGAAATCGATGCAACTTATAGTACTAATAATTTATCATAGGAATTATATGCAATTATGGGTATAATTGATGGTACTGGATTTTCCTTAGTTATCTTTTAATTTTAGCTGGAAAAAACAAAGATATAACAAGAATCTTTACATGTTGGATGCAAGCACTCAAGGAACGACATTTAAATAATTTTCCTTTTATTTTAAGTGACAAAGATTTTTCAGAAATAAATTCAGCAAAAACAGTTTGGTCTGAAGCCTGTGTGCAGTTATGCATGTGGTATGTACGACGTGCTATCAAACAATGATTAGCATTAAATAAAATAAACGTATACTATTCTTATAATTCCAGAATTGCACATGAGGAATGTTCTATAATAGATTCTAATTGGGGACTTGTAGATAATTCTACTTCCACAATATTTTGCCCCTTAAATTTGCATAAAACAGTAATTGAACTTATAGAAGATCATTCAAGCCGACACATGTTATTACCAAAATCTGATGGTAGTTTTATTGTAGATACAAATGAAATTTGAAAAGAATGTGTGAGTGAAATCTTTCAGTTTTGCAAATTTAATGATTTAATTTGGCTATAGACGTATCTCTGGAAAGAATGGTATTCAAAAAACAAATAGATTTTATGGGCACAATCATCTAATGAATATATTTGTCATATTAAAACCACTATGATAATTGAATCATATTGGTGTCACATTAAACGAGATCATTTATATAAATTTCACAAATCTAGAATCCGATCATCTCTGTTACATTCTTATCAAAAAAGTTCTTACTCAACAATTATATCGAGTTCAACTGCTTCAACAAGGTCGATATTCAGTACCATGGCGAAAAGAGTTTAAGAAAGAGTAGAAACGACATGAAAAGCAAAAAACTCAATCAAATAATAAATATTTTACTGATCCTGCCAAGTGGATATGTGCATGCCCTGCATATCATCTTAGTTGATTTTTTTTGTGCAAGCATTTAATTAATTCCGTTGAAAAAGTTGATTTAATGTTCTTCAAAAAAGCAAGTTATAATTTATTTAATGTTTAATATGTATTATAAATTAA